CTCTCCTTTTCTCCCTCTCTCTCTCTCTCTCTCTCTCTCTCTCTCTCTCTCTCTCTCTCTCTCGCTCTCTCTCTGCCGTGCGCCTATTCTCTCTCCCCCCCCCCTCTCTCTGTCTCTGTGTGTGTGTGTGTGTGTGTGTGTGTGTGTACCGCGCGCCTACATTCCCATTTAACGTACGAAGAAGAAGAAGAAGAAGAAGAAGAAGAAGAAGAAGAAGATGATGAAGAAGAAGAAGAAGAAGAAGAAGAAGAAGAAGAAGAAGAAGAAAACATACCTGTGGTGCACTGGCGGGCGGGGAGGCTGGCTTCGCTGCACGACGATGACGGCGACAATGACAATGACGATGATGATGGCGACGGGCGACGACAGCGGGGGCGTTGGCTTGTTGACGGAACGGCAGGTGAGTCAGGAGAGGCGGGAAGTCATAGGCGGGAGGGAACGGCAGCTCCTCCAAGTTTCGAAAACGGAGGCCTCATTTGGGCCGACGATCTTTCGAGATCAGCGGTCCAGAAAGGCAGCCCTTTTCAAAACTTGGAGGCTTCCCTACCGGACCCGTTTTGATTTATTTTAGGGCCAGGAGGCCCCCACAACCCGCGTGGGGGCCTCCTGGCCCGAAAAAAAATCGAGTCGGCCAGATTTCGGCTATGCGCTATAGCCGACTGGGGGGGAAACGGCCCGGTGGACCGGCCGGTCCCACCAGCCTGGTTCCGGTTGGGGGTGGACCCCCCGGTGGGACTGGGTTTACAGCCCTGGTTTACGAAGTATTGATCAATCACACGGACGTACTTTCCAATCCATTTGATGAAACATAGGATGTGTTTTTATGACAACAGCAAGGCTGTGGCGCATATGGGGATACTGGCTGTTACTGTAACATACACAGATAAAAAAAGAAGAAAAAAGAATTTTTGAAAGGAAAAATACGGAGAACTCAGAAGTGCAGCATTTCTCAGTAAAATCTTAGACTTCTCAGACTGAGATCTGCAATGCTCATTGCAGTGATGCTTATGTGGTCGGCATTCAAACTGTGGTTGAGACAAGTTCCCACCTGCTGAATAAGCTTCTGTCGCTCTGGGGTTCCAAACTTGGGTGGGCATAATCTTGATTTGATCGCTAATCCACGTCGCTCTTCCTTCGAGTAATCAAGGGATCCAAGAGCTCCATCAGGTTTCGTCTCCATGAAGGCCCTCAATGCCACCAAAGCCGTTCTTACTGCAACCGTTCAATATCATTGCAAGCAACCTCAAGTCTCAGCCCCGCATAATAATCAAGCCAACTGAGGCGAACTTGTTTCAGACTTTCATAAGGGTTTCAGACATAGCCGAAACGCAAGTATGACATCCCCCCATGTGCAAAATCCACCAACTCTTCTTTCTGGTGTTTGCAACAGGGCTCTCTGCAAGCACAGGCCACCACACGCATGAGGACTCTTGGACTGCAGAGTCCACAGCTGGATGAAGTATCATACCAACACACCAGCACAAGGTAACTTTGTGGCCCTGCAAGAGCCTCGGCAGGAACTTCTAGATCAAAGCTTCATAGCTTGCATTCTGCGAATGTACAAGTCCAGTCCATTCACATTGGACAGACATCCCCCAGGCAGGTAAGGTCTTGCACAATTCCTTCACAGTCCTGTCTAGTCTAGCGAGCCCTAAATTTTTCCCTCCTGCGCTTGTGGCAGAATATCAACTCACCCCAACCACCTCTACCAAGAAGTAACAAGGATTTCAACCACAATAGAAAGTTGCTCCCATGACCATAAGGCAACATTAAGAAGTACAAAAAAAGAAAAGACTGAGGGCTGCTCTCTCTCTCTCTCTCTCTCTCTCTCTCTCTCTCTCTCTCTCTCTCTCTCATGTGACACAGATACAGTGCAGTGGAAGTCTGAAAACCAATCAATCTTACTCATGTGACTCGGACAGAGACACTGATTGCACCAATCAACACTCAAGCAACCAGGAAGGAAGACATACACAGGCGAGGTCCCTCCTACTGTATCATGCACATGGGGAGGTAAGCCACAGATAGTGAGGGGAGAGAAAAGGAGAAATGTGAGAGAGGACAGAATGACATGGTTGTAGAAGAAGTAACAGCATCCCTGAAATACTCTTCCAAGTCTCTGACCCACGGAGAAGAAATACTATCCAAGTCTCTGATCTCCCTCTTCAACCCAGGACTAGGAGGAGGCGGATATGGAGGGGGCAGAGAGGAGAAGAAGATCCCTCTCTCTCTCTCTCTCCCCCCTCCCACCCCCACCCACCTTGTTACGGACTCCGCCAGGGCTCGATCCCTGGTCTATCTTTTTGCTGTTTCGGTTGCATCCCGTTTTCGGCCTGGCACCCCTTTTCCAAACCCCTCCTTTGGTACCATAGGATTT